CTGTTGAATATTATTTTGATTTCAACCGAAATCGCGTTTCTTTCCAAATCTTAAAAAGAATTTTTCGAGTTTATGGATTCACGATTTCAAAACGGATCGAGCTATTGATTTCTGGTTTGTACCATTCGATTCCTTGGAGTTTTCTAGTACAACGATTATTTTTTTTGCGCCAAATAAGTTTGGCGTTTGTGTTTGAGACGCTAATAAATCAGAGAATGTTATTTTTGTATAGGTAAAACAAAAAACACGAATACAAAAATCAGGAAGCTCCGCTGAGCAATTATGAATTCGGATTCATATTCAGGATGCTCAAATTAGTGAGTACAGCAATTTTCAGGAATCTCCGTTATCGAATAAGAAATCAGTACTACTTACCACAACCGCGACATATTTTACGAAAAAATAAATATTTTCTGATTTGTTTCAAATTGAGTTTCTAGACTAATTTTGACCAGGAGAAATTATTTCTGCCATCAGTTGTTGAGTATTAATTCGTTTTTAATTGGAATCTCGTTTCATTCTGTATCTCAAAAAATACGTTTCGTGTTTATGGCCTCATCATTTCAAAACGGTTCAAGGTACCGAGTTCTGGTTTGTACCATTCGATTCCTTGGAATTTTCTAGTCACAACGAATAACTTTTTGTGTCGGATAAGTTTGGCGTTTGTGCTGTAGACACTAATAAAGCAGACGATGTCATTTTTCTCAAATTAACCTAATATAAAAAAATCAAAAAAATTCAGGAAACTCTGCAGGTCAATTTTGAAGTCGGATTCAAACTGAGGATGCCTAAATTAATAAGTGCAGCAAATTTCAGAAATCTCCGTTATCAAATAAGAAATTAGTACTCTAGTAGTACTCGCTACGATAAGATTGATTTTGGCTAATGATCTACTCTCTAAGAAAACAAAGCCCGGGCGGGCCGGACAAATGACCTACTCTTCTAAGAAAAAGCATTAGCCCCGCCCACCCACCCTTTATTTTCTTAGAATAAGTCATCTGCCAAATAAATTTTATTTTGTCAAGTATGAGTCTGATTTTTGCAGATGACATATTCTCTAAGAAAATAAGGGTGGGTGGGCGGGGCTAGTGCTTGTCAAGATAAGACTGATTTTGGCAGATGACGGGTCTTCTAAGAAAATTAAGGGTGGGTGGGCGGGGCTAGTATTGTCAAGATGAGACTGATTTTGGTAAATGACATCCTTTAAGAAAGTAAAGGTGAGTGGGCGTGCCTAGTACTTGCTAGATAAGATTGATTTTGGCATATGACTTATTCTTCTCAGAAAATAAAGACTAGTTGGGCGGAGCTAGTACTTGCCAAATAACCTACCCTCTAACAAAAAAAGGCGGGCAGGCCAGGCTAATATTTGCCAAAATAAGACTCATTTTGGCAAATGACCTACTCTTCCAGGAAAAGATACTAGCCCCGCCCACCCACCCTTTATTTTCTTAAACTAGGTCATCTGCCAAAATCAATCTTATCTTGTCAAGTATGAGACTGCTTTTTGCAAATGACATATCTTCTAAGAAAATAAAGGGTGGGTGGGCGGGGCTAGTACTTGTCAAGATAAGGCAGATATTGGCAGATGACCCACTTTTCTAAGAAAATAAAGGGTGGGTGGGCGGGCCTGGTATTTGTCAAGATAAGACTGATTTTCGCAAATAACATATCTTGTAAGAAAATAAGGGTGGGTGGGCGGGGCTAATACTTACTTACTAGATAAAATTGATTTTGGCATATGACTTATTGTTCTCAGAAAATAAAGGCTTGGTGGGCGAAGCTAATACTTGTCAAATAACCTACCCTCTAAGAAAATAAAAGGTGGGTGAACTGGGCTAATATTTGCTAAAATAAGACTCATGTTGGCAAATGACCTACTCTTCCAAGAAAAGATACTAGCCCCGCCCACCCACCCTTTATTTTCTTAGAATAGGTCATCTGCCAAAATCAATCTTATCTTGTCAAGTATGAGACTGCTTTTTGCAAATGACATGACCTCTAAGAAAATAAGGGTGGGTGGGCGGGGCTAGTACTTGTCAAGATAAGACTGATTTTGGTAGATGACCCACTCTTGTAAGAAAATAAAGGGTGGGTTGGCGGGGCTAGTATTTGTCAAGATGAGATTGAGTTTGGCAGATGACCCACTCTTCTGAGAATATAAAGGGTGGGTGGGCGGGGCTAGTACTTGTCAAGATGAGACTGATTTTGGCATATGACTTATTGTTGTAAACAAATAAAGGCTGGGTGGGCGGAGCTAGTACTTGCCAAATAACCTACCCTCTAACAAAATAAAAGGCTGGTAGGCCGGGCTAATACTTGCCAAAATAAGACTGATTTTGGCAAATGACATATTCTATAAGAAAATAAGGGTGGGTGGGCGGGGCCAGTACTTCCTAAAAATAAAAAAGTTTAAAAATCAAAAATCGACAAATTGAAAAGTCGAATAAATGAGAAATCGGAAAATTAAAACAACTGAAATTTCCAAAAATTGAAAAAAAAAAATTCGAAATGGCAGTTTTCATGTTATTTTTTTTTATTTTTAGATTTTTCAACATTTGAATATTTCGTTTGATAATTTGTTTGACAATTTTTCAGTTTTTAATTCCAATCTTTTGATTTTTCAATTTTTAACTTTTCAATTTTGCAGTTTTTTGATTTTTAATTTTTCAGGTTCTCAATTTAAAATTTTTCCTTTTCACGATTTGTCATTTTTCGATTTTTTAACTAAAAGAACAAATTTATTCGAACCGAGATTTTGAAAAATCGAAAAATCCAAAAATTCAAAAATTGTTTAATTCCAAATCTCAAAAAATATTTCTCTAGTTTACGGATTCATCATTTCAAAACGGTTCGAGACACGAGTTTCTAGTTTGTACCATTCGATTCCTTGGAGTTTTCTAGTCACAACGAATAATTTTTTGTGTCGGGTAAGTTTATCGTTTGTGCTTGAGACGCTGATAAAGCAGACGATGTTTTTTTCTGAAGGTAACAATATAAAAAAATCAAAAAAACCCAGGAACCTCTGCAGATCGATTTTGAAGTCAGATTCATATTCAGGATGCCTAAATTAATAAATGCAGTAAATTTCAAGAATTTCCGTTTTCGAATAAGAAATTAGTACTACTTATCACAACCGCGAAATTTTCTTCAACAAACTTCAAAAAAAAAAAAAATGTTTTCCGATTTGCCTGAAATTGAGTTCCCAGATTAATTTTACACTGCAGAATTCATATCCACATCAGTTCTTGAATATTATTTTGATTTGAACCGAAATTGCGTTTCAATCCAAATCTCAAAAAATATTTTTCGAGTTTACGAAGTTATCATTTTAAAATGGTTCAAGGGACCGACTTCTGGTTTATACCATTCGAATCCTTGTAGTTTTCCAGTCCCAACGATTGATTTTTTGGCCCAGATAAGTTGTCTGTTTGTGCTTGAAAGCCCGATAAAACGGACGATGTCTTTTTTCTACAGCGTGTTATTGAAAGGTACGTACAAAATAAAATCGGTAATTGGTCTCGAAGTATGGGTGCTAAAAGTAAAAAAAAAGTTCAGGTAAAAGTGTTCTCCTTTTAGAGATAAAAATTATTAAAATTTATGTCCAAATTCGTTGTACGCCTCTGATAAAAAGATCATCTTTCGTTTCTATAGCAATATTTACTCTTGACAAAAGTTTTATTGTTACAGTTGCTAGGATTTACTAAAATAAATTAATTTTACCTATTTATTCTTCAGTAGCGTCTAAAAAGGTTGGATAAGGGTTAATTTTCCCCTTATAATTTTAATAACACAAAATAAGTTTTTCAGACTTCTTAGACTTCGCGAATAACTGTCAATTTTGTTGTACGTACCTTTCAATAACACCCTGTATAAGTAGCAGCGTATAAAAAATAAAAAAAAAAATCAGGAAGCTCCGCAGAACAATTCTGAATTCAGATTCGTGTTCGGGAGATCTAAATTAGTGAGTGTAGCAATTTTCAAGAATCTCTGTTGTCGAATAAGAAATCAGTACTACTTACCACAACCACCAGATATTTCACGAAAAATTAAATGTTTTCTGATTTGTCTCAAATTGAGTTTCTAGACTAATTTTGAACGGAAGAAATCATTTCTGCCGTTAGTTGCTGAGTATTAATTCGTTTTTAACTGAAATCTCGGTTTATTCTGTATCAAAAAAAGTATTTTTCGTGTTTATGGGGTCATCATTTCAAAACGGTTCAAGGTACCGACTTCTGGTTTATACCATTCGATTCCTTGAGTTTTCTAGACGAAGAGAATAATTTTTTGGTCCGGATGAGTTATCCATTTGTGCTTGATAGCCCGATAAAACAAACGATGTCGTTTTTCTATAAGCAGCAGCAGATAAAAAATCAAAAAAATTCAGGAAGCTCGGCAGAACAATTCTGAATTCACATTCGTATTCAAGAGATCTAAATTAGTGAGTATAGCAACTTTCAGGAATCTGTGTTATCGAATAAGAAATCAGTACTACTTCGCGAGATATTTCACGAAAAAATAAATGTTTTCTGATTTGTCTCAAATTGAGTTTATAGACTAATTTTGCAGTTTTGGCCACGTATATTCAGTTTAGTTCCACTGTAAACCACGAGAAATGTGAATTCCTGTTTACTAAGTACGACCACAAAAATGGTACGATCTGATAGTTACAAACTGTTTGTACTTAATTGAGTTTCCTACCGTAAACGGTCAAGTTTCAATTATATTTAATTGAAACGATAATAATAGGTGATTGTCATAATTAAGTAAACTTTCTAATACAGCTTGTCCCATTTAGCGAACCTAAAAAATCTCACAACAATTTACTAACCACGTGCGTCAGCACACATCGGTTTTGCACTACTTTATCCTACAAAACCCATTTAGCAACCGCCACAAAACACGCACATTTTTTTCACTTTAACGACCCCATCTCATGTTACGCGTCTCGCTCCATCTCCCCTAAGCCGTCGCTTTCAAAGCTAAGACCCCTTTCGTTCCAGCTAAACCAGCAGACCACTTCAAGCGAAGAACTCAACGGCTTCATCAACAACACGCCCATCTACGTGACGTCTTTGACGGCCACCGAAAATTTAAACAACAACCCCACCGCAAGCAAGTCGGAAGGCGGAAGCGGAGGCGGCGGCGGCGGTTCCGTCCTGGCCAACACCATCTCGGTGGTGGCAACGAAGGAGGTGAGCGCGACGCCCAAGCTCCTGCCCAACGGCCACGACAGCGCCGACTTCATCGTGCCCAAGGTGGGCAACGATGTGCGGGCCGCCGATGTGAAGGAGGGCCCCCAGCAGCAGGCCTTGGAGGTGCGCAAGCCGGGCGACAGGAGAGCGTCGTCGCCGTTCCAGAATGGCAGGACGGAGCTGCTGATCGGCGCCGAAGACAATAAGTTCAAGACGACGGCCATCGTCGAGAGCAATAACAATAAGTTGGGGGTGGAGGGCGAGAGCAGGTAGGCAACGAACGCCACTGTATATGTTACAGCTAATATCCGAAATCCGTTATTATGCATAATAACTAGACATTTTAGGAATTATGCGTAATAACTAAACTTGTCAGTTATTATGCATAATAACCAGAAACATTAGGAATTATGCGTAATAACTGAAATTCTCAGTTATTATGCATAATAACGGAAACGTTTAGGTAATATTGATAATAACTAACACAGAAACAGGAATTATGCATATTTTCCAAAAAGCTACCCACCCTGCCTCGCTTTCTCCTACATACCACATGTACAGTTGATTTAAAAAAAAAGGGACAAATTACAGTTATATAAACGTCATATTCCCATTGCTTTTCATTGATCTATGAGAACCTGAGTTGCTCATCTTGTCTCGTTTTTTTGAAATCAGCTGGACATGTTATAAGCCTTTGAAAATGGTAAAAACTGAAAAAAAAATAGAACAGGATGATACCCACTGGAAAAGGAAGAAAATGTAACAAAAATAAAGGGAAAAATAATTTACGGGCGATCTGAGGTCCGGAAGGGGAAGAGGGTGAGCTTTTAAGGGTAGAAAACGGTTTATCACGATTTCCGGCAAAAAGTTAAATGGCAAAGTTGTAGGTAATAAAAAGATCTACAACTTTTGTATTTACATTTTCTTTCCTCAAAATCTATGCGAAAAATGCAAATAACCGAGTTTTTGGTTTCTTATTTTTATCTCCCACAATTTTTTTTTTTTTCACAAAATTTGGCGAAAACTTACCTATTTATGTATAACTCACTGTCATTTTTTTGATACAAAATATTTATTTTTTTTACCTTATTTTGATTTAATATCGAAAAACCACCCTAATTTTCAATCGAAAATTCCCACGTCAAAATATTTGCTTTTTTAAAAAAGTCGGTGTGCTTTTTGTTCGCTGAAATCTCTACTTTCTGAAGGTGTAAAAAAAATTATACATTACTATGGCAAATTTTCACAGGAAACGCAAAAAAACGAAAAACTCGAATTCAAAAATTTGTTTTTTAATTATTATGTAAAATTTGGAGCTATTTATAAAAGGGTACACGTTAATTACTCGAAAAACGTAATATTTCATGTTACATTGATTAATTAAAAAATTGCAAATCGAAATATACTACTATAATTAACAACCAAATAAGTTAATACACTTAATACTTTATAAGACATCTACAATATTTTGTTAAAGTTGTAGGATAATTTTTAAATTATATGCATAGGTGCCTATTTATTGCTATTTTAAGATAACTTACATACCTGAATGGCCTACGGAAAATTTTAGCCCATCAGAAGAATGAACAACATCGTCTATAAAAATACACGTGCAGCTGAGTTACTTGAAGAGAACCGTGACGAATTGATTTATTTAAAAGAAACTTTTGGAATCTACAGTCACAAGGATTTTCCTGTAAACAAGCAGAAGAAGATTCTGATGCTAACATAATTAAGATCTGGATAGAAACTGCTAGAGATACCAATAAAACTGTCATAGTTGTGGGTTAAGATATTTTGGTCCTTTTGAATCAATTGAATTCAAATAATTATGACATTTATTTTCGCAAACCAGGTTCTAGAAATGTAAAAGATTTATTTTTCAAATATGAATCTTTCAAAAGTATCGCTGCATTTCTGTATTGTTTTTCTGGTTGCGATACAACATCTGGGTTTGCCGGAAAAGGAAAGCAAAACATCGTAAATTCATTGTTTTCTAATATATAAAATTCTCGTGTTACAGTGTGTAACCAAACTCTTCCGAAACGGTTTGACTGATTTTTATGAAATTTTCTGTCTATATTCGGTAGGTCTGAGAATAGGTTGTAAACTATTTTTTATACCCCTAGGTGATAAGAGTGGCCCATCCAAAAAAAAATTTTTTTTTTCGGACAAAATTTGTTATTTTTATTTTTTTAAGATTTGGCTTCAAAAAATACAATTAACCCTAAATTTTCACCCTTCTACCACCAACCCCCATTTTGTAGTAACGATATTAGTATCTTTACTTTCATCCACAGATACACAAGGCAGGTTTCAACATGGCTGTTGAATATAATAATCATTGTCCTACGATAAATTTTTATGTATAATTTATAATTTAATTTAATTATAATTTATTTATTTTTATTTTATTTTTTATTTAACTACTAAAATATTCACTGGGTCTGCTAGTCAGATGATAAAAATTTGTCAAATTTGGACAATATTTTTTATAAAAACATGCAAACAAAGAAGATATCGCAAAAAATGGATTACAATTAATCAAATATATTTATAAATGTAAAAATGATAATATAACACTGAATCAATTAAGATTTCGAAAATCAATTAGCAAGAATTAAATCATCTTTCATATTGACAAATCTCCCACCAACAGAAGATTTTAAATTTTTGAGTTTATCAGTGTAACATGGAATCTTATTTTCGATTGAAAATTAGGGTGGTTTTTCGATATTAAATCAAAATAAGGGAGAAAAATAAATATTTTGAATCAAAAAAATTACAGTGATTTTGAGACATAAATAGGAAAGTTTTCACCAAATTTCGTGAAAAAAAAACTTTTGTGGGAGATAAAAATAAAAAACCAAAAACTCGGTTATTTGCATTTTCGCATAAATTTTGAGGTTATTTAAAAAAAGTCTAAATACAAAAGTTGTAGATCCTTTTATTACCTAGAACTTCGCCATTAACTTTTTTCGATAGGACTTGTAGTTTTGCCGGAAATCGTGATAAACCGTTTTCTACCCTTAAAAACTCACCCTCTTCGACTTCCCGACCTCAGATCGCCCGTAAATTATTTTTCCTTTTATTTTTGTTATATTTTCTTTCTTTTCCAATGGGTATCATCCTGTTCTAAATTTTTTTGTTCTCAAAAATTATCGGCCCTGGCCTATTAGACAATATGCTTAATGACTAATGTTTCAGGTATTATGCATAATTCCTTTTCCTCTGCTAGTTGTTATCAATATTACCTAAACGTTTCCGTTATTGTGCATAATAACTGAAAAATTCAGTTATTACGCATAATTCCTAATGTTTCCGGTTATTATGCATAATAACTGACAAGTTTAGTTATTACGCATAATTCCTAAAATATCTAGTTATTATGCATAATAACGTATTTCGGATATTAGCTGTAACATATACACTAGCGTCACCCACAGGGTTAAATAACGGGTCGTGTACCACTACGCATTTTTTAGACGAAGAGGTCCGACGCCAGACTTTCGTGAATAGCCCACTTCAGAAAATAATAACAGCGCCTATTGTGCCTTCTTGGAAGGTTTTATTAGTCACGGATGATTGTTGCCTTGGTTATCATCATCCTAAACTCTTGGTATTTTGTTTATTATTCATTGACGTATGGCGTATCTTGAAAATGTTCGGTGGGCGGGGGATTAGCATACAATGTCGTTGGGTTTGAGAGGTTGACGTGTCCTCTGACCGTGGTGTATACTGTATACCGTGCGAGACCGATTTATTTTTACGTGGAAGTCGGGGGGGCGGGGCGGGCGTAGGAGGGTCATTGTTAGGTAGACAGGTGTGTCTTGAGGCAACTTGTACCTGGACCGGGAGGCTGAGGAATGTGCGTTTTGAGGAAATCGAGATGGGTTATGTAAAAAATTGCGTGCTGGGAGCACTTATTATACCTGAGTTTTTTGTTTTTTTTTTTGAAGAGTGGAGCAGTTTTATGCTCTTTGTTTTCTTTACTTGTTGATGTCTACGTAACTGGTTTGATTTGTTTACGGATGTTTGCCATTAACGGATCCGATTGTCGCATGACAGGTAAACACAGCATTATCAAAATAGTGACGTTAAAATTGACTACTTATTAAGTTAATTTTCGTAATAAGTGTTTTTATGCTAAAACATAAACATGTCTCTTTAAAACGTGGCAAACTCACCTTTTCCATGGATTCGTGAACCTTGGATTCGTCATAAGTCGAGTAAATTTGGAATCTTTGTGAGTCCTAGAAAACTAATTGAATTATTGTGTGATATGAATATCTCCATCGCCCAGAAGAACAAGGAACGCGTTCATTTTTACAATTTTTCAGATTTTTCGAGTTTTCAACTATTCATTTATTTAGTTTTTTGGTTTGAAATTTTCAATGTTACAATTTTTCGACTTTTTGATTTTCGATTTTATAAATTTTCGATTTTCCAGCTTTTCGTTTTTTCAATTTTTACAATTTTGTCGTTCTACGATTTTTTATTTTTCAAGTTTTCGACTTTTTAATTCAATTTTTCGTTTTGCATTTTTAATTCTACAGTTTTTCGATGTCTGGAATTTTCTTTTTTCACTTTTACAATTTTACAACATTTGATTTTTTGGTTTTAAGGTTTTCCATTTTTCGATTTTTGAGATTTTCGATTTTTTTTATTGATTATTGGCACTGATTTTTGAAATTTGAAAAATTGTTCGATTTTCCCATTTTACGTTTTTCCAATTATTTTATTTTTAGATTTTTTTGTTTTTTGGGTCTATAAACTTTTGATTTGCAGTTTTTAAAACTTTCAGTTTTAGATTTTTCAATGTTACAATTTTTCAAATTTTTCTTTCTTCAATTTTGCAATTTGGTAATTTTTCGTTTATTCTGTTTTTTGATACGCAATTTTTCGATTTTACAATTTTGGAAGTTTTCGATTTTGGATTTTTCAATTTTTAATTTTTCAAGATTTCAATATTCTGATTTTTCGATTTTTCTAATTTTTAATTTTATAATTTAACAATTTTCCTATTTTTCAATTTAAATTTTTTTAATTTTTCGATTTTTCAATTTTTCATTAATTCAGATTTCCATTTGTATTTGTTAATTTTACAGATTTTCTTTTTTTCAAGTTTTTCTTTATTATGTGGTCCCAACATTTTTATTTAATTGGCACCGGTTTTTAAATTTTGAAATTTTACGATTTTTCAATTATTCCATTTTTCGATTTTTTATTTTTCTTTTACAATTTGTCTTTTGTAGTTCAAGAGTATTCA